CTGGGGGGACCGATACCCTCCGGCTCCTGCGGGGAGACCCCCTCCCCGTTCCGTGGTGCCCTGGGGATCCCCAACAGCTACTGGGGGACCGATGCCCTCCGGCTCCTGCGGGGAGAGCCCCCCCGTTCCGTGGTGCCCCGACAGCTACTGGGGGGATCGATGCCCTCCGGCTCCCGCGGGGGTCCCGGTTCCCCCTCTCCCCCCCGAAGGACAGTGCTCCCCCACCTTCGCACCAGGGTCTCACGGCCGCTCCCACGTCCCCCCACGTCTGTGAGTTCATTATGGGGCAGATTCCAGAACCACCAGACAGGCAGGGTTTCCCAGACGATGGCGGAGGGCAAGGACAAAGCCCTGTGGCTCCTCCGGGAGAAGCACCTTCCACTGCCTCGAGCCTCGAGACGGGTGACAGCTCGGCTCCCCCGGCTCTTCATCCTCCGACATGGAGAGGAAGATGAGTGCTATGGCTTGTGGCGTCTTCAACGAGCTTCGCCTGGAAGGAAAACTCTGTGACGTGACCATCAGCGTGGACGGGGTGGAATTCAATGCCCACAAGAACATCCTCTGTAGTTGCAGTCACTACTTCAGGTCGGTTGCTTGAAACAAGAGGGGACGGGGACAAATGGCATTCCCTGGGCTGTGTCGTGCTGCCTTAGTGTATCTCCAGCGCTTCCCTCAGCGCTAAAACTCTCCTCCAGCAGATCCACACAGTCCTGGTACCTGCCTGGGCACCACAGTTCATCCACAACCCAGGATCACATAATTTCATGGTTGGAAGAGACCTTTGAGGTCATCGAGTCCAACCATACACACAAAAAAACCCCACCAAAACCCCCCAAAACCCCACAACCAAACACAAATCGGAATTCAATGCCCACAAGAACATCCTCTGTAGTTGCAGTCACTACTTCAGGTCGGTTGCTTGAAACAAGAGGGGACGGGGACAAATGGCATTCCCTGGGCTGTGTCGTGCTGCCTTAGTGTATCTCCAGCGCTTCCCTCAGCGCTAAAACTCTCCTCCAGCAGATCCACACAGTCCTGGTACCTGCCTGGGCACCACAGTTCATCCACAACCCAGGATCACATAATTTCATGGTTGGAAGAGACCTTTGAGGTCATCGAGTCCAACCATACACACAAAAAAACCCCCCCAAAACCCCCCAAAACCCCACAACCAAACACAAATCACCCAACTCAACAATCTCAGGCACTAGAGCATGCCCTGAAGTGCCACGTCTACGTATTTCTTAAATACCTCCAGGGTTGGTGACTCCCCAGCAGTGCTGTGCTCCACAGCAGGGTCTGTAGAACCTGCAGAGGTGGTGCAGGGATGGAGCGTGGCCAGCCGGGCTCGTGGGCCATGGGCCAGAGCTGTTCCTGCCCCACACACCACCGCTCTGGTGGCCTTGGTGAAGCAAGGTGGCCACTGGTCCAGCGCCTCTCTGTCCACAGCTCAACTGGGTGCCCAGGGAAGGAGCTTGGGGGTGACGGGGTCAGGGTTTAACAAAGCAAAGCTGCTATTCCCCCCAACATGGCTCGGTGTTTTTCAGGGCTCTTCCTGCCCCACACACCACCGCTCTGGTGGCCTTGGTGAAGCAAGGTGGCCACTGGTCCAGCGCCTCTCTGTCCACAGCTCAACTGGGTGCCCAGGGAAGGAGCTTGGGGGTGACGGGGTCAGGGTTTAACAAAGCAAAGCTGCTATTCCCCCCAACATGGCTCGGTGTTTTTCAGGGCTCTTTTTGCCAGCAACTGGAGCAACGTGGAGAGAAGAGTCTATAAAATCGAGGGCACTTCTCCGGAAATGATGCGGCTCATCATCGAGTACGCCTACATCAGGACGGTGCCCATCACTGTGGACAACGTCCAAAGTTTGCTGGTCGCAGCCGACCAGTTCAACGTCATGGGCATCGTCAGACTCTGCTGCGAGTTCTTGAAGTCCCAGATGTGCCCGGAAAATTGTATTGGCATTTACAGACTCGCAGATTATTGCTACTGCTCCGACCTGCGGGAAGCAGCCCTCATGTTCCTCCTCTATCACTTTGAGGACGTGACCAAGCTCTCCACAGAGTTTCTAGACCTCTCCGTTGATGAGTTCAGACACATCTTGGAGAAGGACGAGCTCAATGTGAAACGGGAACAGGCAGCGTTCGAGGCCATTCTGAAATGGATTGATCACTCCCCGTGGAACCGAAGGCAGCACATTGGGGTCCTGCTGGGCAAGGTGGGTGCTGTCCCAGCCCTTGGGTTCTCTCTGAGCTATGGACAACCCTCCAGCCCGAAGGCAAAGCTGCTCGGCATTGGAGCCTTCCACAAAAGATACCAGGGTATAAATCATCTCCATATTCTAACCTTTTTGCATTTGTCAGGTTCGACTGGCGCTGATGCACGTAGACTACTTCATGATCAATGTCAGGATGCACGACTACGTGAGGGACAACGAGGATTGCAAACGTCTCATCAGAAATTCCCTGGCAGAAATGTACGTCATCAATATGTATGGCCCATCCTCTTCTGACTTCAGCCACCCGCTCTCTCGGCCGCGCTTGCCCGGTGCCATCTTGTTTGCCATCGGAGGCTGGAGCATTGGGACTCCAACCAACGCCATCGAGACCTACGATTCCCGGGCAAACCAGTGGGTGAACGTCACGTGCGACCAAGAAGGACCCCTCGCCTACCACGGCACAGCTTACTTCAAAGGCTTCATCTACGTCGTCGGAGGATTTGACAGCTCGGATTATTTCAGCAGCGTCAAGCGCTTTGACCCGCTGAAGAAAACGTGGCAGCAGGTGGCCCCCATGCACTCCCGGCGCTGCTACGTCAGCGTCGCCGTCCTCAACAACTTCCTCTACGCCATGGGGGGCTTTGATGGACACACACGCCTCAACACCGCGGAGCGGTACCAGCCCGAGACCAACCAGTGGACGCTGATTGCCCCCATGCACGAGCAGAGAAGCGACGCGAGTGCGACCACGCTGCATGGAAAGGTAAACAGGAGGTTATGGAAAGCGGGGGAGGCTGGAGGCTGGGGAGCAGGACGAGGAACCAAACACTCACCAGTGTGCAGCGGGACCCAGCCAGCCAGCGCCCGTCCTGTCCCATGGCACGGCCCCAGGCAGGGACTCTCAGCCAGGGAGAAACAGCTACCGCTCCCCGGTTGTTATCTAGAGAGAAAAGTGGTAAAACCCCCCAAAATCCCCAACAACCCTCCCAAAATCCAGCCAGACCATTCATTACCTCCACAACGTGTTCTCCCCCAAGGATATCACTGCCCTGCTCACCCTTTGCTCCTCCTGGGAACAGGTCTATATCTGTGGAGGGTTCAACGGGACCGAATGCTTGATCACAGCTGAAGCGTACGATGCCACCACCCACCAATGGACCTTGATTGCCCCCATGAGCAGCAGAAGAAGCGGAGTAGGAGTCATTGCCTACAGGAACCAAGTGTATGCGGTAAGGGAGCGCTGGCACCTCCGCCCTAACACTGCCCAGCACCTTAGGATAATGGGCATTTTGGGTTATGGAAAATCTCTGGATAATTATTAAGCAGCTACAGCAAAGAGACATCTTACAACCAGTCACCATTTGACTTCTACAATCCTAGAATCACCTTGGTTGGAGGGGCCTCTCAGCTCATCAAGTCCAACCATCAACCCAACACTGACAAAATCCATCACTTACCCCCATCTCTAAGCACTACGTCTGCCCAACTTTGAAATCCCTCCAGGGATGGAGACTCCACCACTGCCCTGGGCAGCCTCTTCCGAGGCTTCATAACCCTTTCAGTGTCAACATTTTTCGTTCATATTCATCCTAAACCTCCCCTGGCACAACTAGAAGCCATTTCCTCTTGTCCCATCACCTCTTCCTTGGGAGAAGAGACAGAACCCCACCTCCTACACCCTCCTTGACCTGTGCACCCAATGGTTTCAGTGAGGAAAGTCCCATTTCAGTTCTGTACCTTTGCCATTCCAGGTGGGAGGATTCGATGGAGTCAACCGCCTTCGCAGCGCAGAAGCGTACAACCCCCTGGCCAACACGTGGCGCAGCGTCCCCAGCATGCTCAGTCCTCGCAGCAACTTTGGCATTGAAGTGGTGGATGATGTCCTGGTTGTGGTTGGTGGCTTTAACGGCTTTTCTACTATTTGCCATGTGGAGTGTTATGATGAAAAACGTAACACGAGGTACGATCTTCAGGACATGAGCATCAACCGCAGTGCTCTGAGCTGCTGTGTGGTGCCAGCTCTGGCCAACGTCAGGGAGTACGTGGCCAGACGGGACTACTACATGGACAACTCCTCAAAGGAAGTAGGGGTCATTTCCTCCACAAGCAGCCTGCCTGTATGAACAGTTCCACCGAGCTAATAAAGTCCTTTGGGCAACAAGTGAATGTAGTCACTTATTCAGAAACCAAAACCTATTGATACAGCTCAAAAGACTCACTAGTTCTGAACCCTTGCCTTCCAGGGCACCACAGAACGTGCCCATCAGCCACAGCCTACGTAGCAACTTCAGAAAGCAACGGACAGCAGAATGCTAGAGAAATAAAAGGTTTATTTTCATCTATTCACTTACTACAATAAACCTTAGTAAAGTGTACCGAAGGTAAAGAACATTACAGCAGGGTTTGTTTCCAACAGCTTCTACACACATCCTACTGGACCTCACTGGGAATGGCTCCAGCAGTGCTGCTTCTCTGGGCAATCTGCTGAAGTTGGGTACACGGCATTCTCAGGGGTTATTTTATTAATCTTCTCGTCTGAACTAATTGGTCACAGTCCAGCGGCATAATCCATTGGGGCAAACAATTCCATTTCCCCCGTAGTTAATATTTTGGGGGAGATACCATCGGGGAGAATGTCAATCCTCACCATGTTTTGTACCAGGAGTGGTGCGTTTCCATCGGCAGCTTTTCCGTGCTCTTCCAATAACTTGTCATAAGGGGGAGCCTCCTCCACAGGAGATCTCGGGATATCTCTGACGGGAAGAGTTTCCCTCACTCTGGGCGTTTGATTAAATGATCCAGTTGTGAGAAGAGGGGCATGCGGAGAGGACACGGGTGGTTTTCCTGGTAGAAATCATTGCTGTAAATAATCCCATTTCCAAGGCGTCCTGATGGGACAACGCTAATTCGACAGATTCCCCATACGCTGTTAGAACTGCGGCACACAGCCCTCGACAGAGCGTAGGTTCAGTCACATCTCGCCCATCAGGACCTCTGAGAGGAGTGGTGGCTCATCAGAGCCATCAGCTGGCCTGTGCCTCAGCGTCCACCTGTGGGAGCTGCTCCACGGGCACGTCAGCATCCATCAGTGCCTGCGTTTGGGGAGCTCGACACCCTGTTGAAATAACATGAAAAAGCTGGAGGGCACGACAAGGTTGGGTTTGCCCAGAGCAGCCATCACCAGGGTGGAGGGACAGGGGCCAGCAGACTCCGGGATGTGGGGAACGCGAGGCTGAGGGCAGCCATGGAGCGAGGACCGGGAGCCCATCGCCTCTGGAGGGTCTCACGGCCGCTCCCACGTCCCCCCACGTCTGTGAGTTCATTATGGGGCAGATTCCAGAACCACCAGACAGGCAGGGTTTCCCAGACGATGGCGGAGGGCAAGGACAAAGCCCTGTGGCTCCTCCGGGAGAAGCACCTTCCACTGCCTCGAGCCTCGAGACGGGTGACAGCTCGGCTCCCCCGGCTCTTCATCCTCCGACATGGAGAGGAAGATGAGTGCTATGGCTTGTGGCGTCTTCAACGAGCTTCGCCTGGAAGGAAAACTCTGTGACGTGACCATCAGCGTGGATGGGGTGGAATTCAATGCCCACAAGAACATCCTCTGTAGTTGCAGTCACTACTTCAGGTTGGTTGCTCAAAACAAGAGGGGACAGGGACAAACGGCATTCCATGGGCTGTGTCGTGCTGCCTTAGTGTATCTCCAGCGCTTCCCTCAGCCCCAAAACTCTCCTCCAGCAGATCCACACAGTCCTGGTACCTGCCTGGGCACCACAGTTCATCTATAACCCAGGATCTCACAGCAGGGCATGCAGTGGGGTCTGTAGAACCTGCAGAGGTGGTGCAGGGATGGAGCGTGGCCAGCCGGGCTCGTGGGCCATGGGCCAGAGCTGTTCCTGCCCCACACACCACCGCTCTGGTGGCCTCGGTGAAGCAAGGTGGTCACTGGTCCAGCGCCTCTCTGTCCACAGCCCAACTTGGTTCCCCGGGGAAGGAAGCTGCTTTTCTCCCCAACATGTCTCGGTGTTTTCCAGGGCTCTGTTTGCCAGCAACTGGAGCAACGTGGAGAGAAGAGTCTATAAAATCGAGGGCACTTCTCCGGAAATGATGCGGCTCATCATCGAGTACGCCTACATCAGGACGGTGCCCATCACTGTGGACAACGTCCAAAGTTTGCTGGTCGCAGCCGACCAGTTCAACGTCATGGGCATCGTCAGACTCTGCTGCGAGTTCTTGAAGTCCCAGATGTGCCCGGAAAATTGTATTGGCATTTACAGACTCGCAGATTATTGCTACTGCTCCGACCTGCGGGAAGCAGCCCTCATGTTCCTCCTCTATCACTTTGAGGACGTGACCAAGCTCTCCACAGAGTTTCTAGACCTCTCCGTTGATGAGTTCAGACACATCTTGGAGAAGGACGAGCTCAATGTGAAACGGGAACAGGCAGCGTTCGAGGCCATTCTGAAATGGATTGATCACTCCCCGTGGAACCGAAGGCAGCACATTGGGGTCCTGCTGGGCAAGGTGGGTGCTGTCCCAGCCCTTGGGTTCTCTCTGAGCTATGGACAACCCTCCAGCCTGAAGGCAAAGCCACTTGGCATCGGAGCCTTCCACAAAAGATACTAGGGTATAAATCATCTCCACTAATCACAGAATTGTCATGGTTGGAAAGGACATATGAAATTACCGAGTCCAATCATACACACACAAAAATACCCTACAATCTCGGCCACCAGAGCATGCCCTGAAGTGCACACCTACGCGTTTCTTAAAAACCTCCAGGGATGGTGACTCAACCACCTCCCTGGGGAGGCTGCTCCAGTACCTGACCACTCTTTCAGTAAAGTAATTCTTCCTAATATTTAATCTAAACCTCCCCTGTTGCAACTTCAGACCATTTCCTCTGGTCCTTTCATTATTCACTTGGGAGAAGAGGCCAACACCCACCTCTCTACAACCTCCTTTTTGCATTTGTCAGGTTCGACTGGCGCTGATGGACGTAGAATACTTCATGAAGAACGTCAAAATGCACGACTACGTGAGGGACAACGAGGATTGCAAAGGTCTCATCAGAAATGCCCTGACAGAGATGTACAACCTCGATATGCAAAGCCCATCCTCCTCCGAACTCACTCGGCCTCGCTTGCCCAGCACCATCTTGTTTGCCATCGGAGGCTGGAGTGGGGGCAGCCCAACCAACACCATCGAGACCTACGATTCCCGGGCAGACCAGTGGGTGAACGTCACCTGCGAGCAAGAAAGAACCCTCGCCTACCACGGCACAGCTTACTTCAAAGGCTTCATCTACGTCGTCGGAGGATTTGACAGCTCGGATTATTTCAGCAGCGTCAAGCGCTTTGACCCGCTGAAGAAAACGTGGCAGCAGGTGGCCCCCATGCACTCCCGGCGCTGCTACGTCAGCGTCGCCGTCCTCAACAACTTCCTCTACGCCATGGGGGGCTTTGATGGACACACACGCCTCAACACCGCGGAGCGGTACCAGCCCGAGACCAACCAGTGGACGCTGATTGCCCCCATGCACGAGCAGAGAAGCGACGCGAGTGCGACCACGCTGCATGGAAAGGTAAACAGGAGGTTATGGAAAGCGGGGGAGGCTGGAGGCTGGGGAGCAGGACGAGGAACCAAACACTCACCAGTGTGCAGCAGGACCCAGCCAGCCAGCGCCCATCCTGTCCCGTGGCACGGCCCCAGGCAGGGACTCTCATGGACCTCAGCCAGGGAGAAACAGCTACCACTCCCCGGTTGTTATCTAGAGAGAAAAGTGGTAAAACCCCCCAAAATCCCCAACAAACCAACCAACCCTCCCAAAATCCAGCCAGACCATTCATTACCTCCACAACGTGTTCTCCCCCAAGGATATCACTGCCCTGCTCACCCTTTGCTCCTCCTGGGAACAGGTCTATATCTGTGGAGGGTTCAACGGGACCGAATGCTTGATCACAGCTGAAGCGTACGATGCCACCACCCACCAATGGACCTTGATTGCCCCCATGAGCAGCAGAAGAAGCGGAGTAGGAGTCATTGCCTACAGGAACCAAGTGTATGCGGTAAGGGAGCGCTGGCACCTCCGCCCTAACACTGCCCAGCACCTTAGGATAATGGGCATTTTGGGTTATGGAAAATCTCTGGATAATTATTAAGCAGCTACAGCAAAGAGACATCTTACAACCAGTCACCATTTGACTTCTACAATCCTAGAATCACCTTGGTTGGAGGGGCCTCTCAGCTCATCAAGTCCAACCATCAACCCAACACTGACAAAATCCATCACTTACCCCCATCTCTAAGCACTACGTCTGCCCAACTTTGAAATCCCTCCAGGGATGGAGACTCCACCACTGCCCTGGGCAGCCTCTTCCGAGGCTTCATAACCCTTTCAGTGTCAACATTTTTCGTTCATATTCATCCTAAACCTCCCCTGGCACAACTAGAAGCCATTTCCTCTTGTCCCATCACCTCTTCCTTGGGAGAAGAGACAGAACCCCACCTCCTACACCCTCCTTGACCTGTGCACCCAATGGTTTCAGTGAGGAAAGTCCCATTTCAGTTCTGTACCTTTGCCATTCCAGGTGGGAGGATTCGATGGAGTCAACCGCCTTCGCAGCGCAGAAGCGTACAACCCCCTGGCCAACACGTGGCGCAGCGTCCCCAGCATGCTCAGTCCTCGCAGCAACTTTGGCATTGAAGTGGTGGATGATGTCCTGGTTGTGGTTGGTGGCTTTAACGGCTTTTCTACTATTTGCCATGTGGAGTGTTATGATGAAAAACGTAACACGAGGTACGATCTTCAGGACATGAGCATCAACCGCAGTGCTCTGAGCTGCTGTGTGGTGCCAGCTCTGGCCAACGTCAGGGAGTACGTGGCCAGACGGGACTACTACATGGACAACTCCTCAAAGGAAGTAGGGGTCATTTCCTCCACAAGCAGCCTGCCTGTATGAACAGTTCCACCGAGCTAATAAAGTCCTTTGGGCAACAAGTGAATGTAGTCACTTATTCAGAAACCAAAACCTATTGATACAGCTCAAAAGACTCACTAGTTCTGAACCCTTGCCTTCCAGGGCACCACAGAACGTGCCCATCAGCCACAACCTACGTAGCAACTTCAGAAAGCAACGGACAGCAGAATGCTAGAGAAATAAAAGGTTTATTTTCATCTATTCACTTACTACAATAAACCTTAGTAAAGTGTACCGAAGGTAAAGAACATTACAGCAGGGTTTGTTTCCAACAGCTTCTACACACATCCTACTGGACCTCACTGGGAATGGCTCCAGCAGTGCTGCTTCTCTGGGCAATCTGCTGAAGTTGGGTACACGGCATTCTCAGGGGTTATTTTATGAATCTTCTCGTCTGAACTAATTGGTCACAGTCCAGCGGCATAATCCATTGGGGCAAACAATTCCATTTCCCCCGTAGTTAATATTTTGGGGGAGATACCATCGGGGAGAATGTCAATCCTCACCATGTTTTGTACCAGGAGTGGTGCGTTTCCATC